TAGTTTTTATAAATATTACAATTATAAAAAATTAAGATTAAAAATAAAAAATCAAGACCCTGTTTAATATAGTTGTGATTTTGAGTTTTTAATTTAAGCTTTCAAAATTTAAACCATTAAAAATAAAAATAAAATAAAAATTACCAACTTATTGAGTATAAAATTTTAAAACAAATACCCAAAAGTCCAAACTTAATTAATTTATATAGACTTACTTAATTTTATTTTAGGACTTCTAAATTTTTGAAAAGCAAAAACTAAAAACTCAAAACCACAACTATACCAAATCGAGTTTAAAATTTTGTTTAAAACAAATTTAACACTAATAATAAAAAATATAAACTTGTTTAATAGTATTAAAATTATTTTTGTTTTTATTTATCTAATAATGATGATAATATGTTGTAAAAATACATAAAAATAAATAAATTTATTTTTGTTCAAAATTATAATATTTATAGAAACAAAAACTAAAAACCATAAACTACGACCATATTAAATAAAACTTTAATTATTCACTTTTTAAAAGTGTACGTTATATTAAGGTTTATTAGGTATAAATATAAAATTTTACAATTAATTATTATATTTTTATTTTATTAAAATGCTACTAGGTGCCTAAAATTGAAGAAAGAAAGTATATAGATGGAGTATATTGCTCTTATAATAATATAGTTTAATTTGTCAATAAAAAATATGATAATAATTTATAAAAACTCCACTTTTGTATGTCATACACATGATTAGAGTCGTAGAAGAAAATAGCCTTCCATTATGCTACATAAAATAATTAATAAAATAATAAACAACTCTGCGTAAGTCTTAGCTATTTACTCATTTTATAGTTTATCTTATTTTTATGTTTTGTCTAAAGAATACTCATTTCTCCAACTAAATGAACTTTGATAAGTTTAATCATATTTTCTTGTAACTCATAATCACTAATAAAAGATTGCTATGGAATATAAGGAATCAAAATTAAACATGAGTTTCAACATAAAATTTATATTTAACTTAAAAATAAGTATTAATAATTGAAGTAATCTTCTTTATATTTAAGTTATATATGCTTTTATTATATGTTTTAATGTAAAATTTTACAACTCAACATGTTAATATACTAACAACAAACTTAACAAAAATGTAACATGCTTTGATATTTTATGAAAAATTAGATAAATAAATTTTAATGTAAATTTTATATTTAAGTTAAAATTAATTAATAATAAATAAAATAATTATGCTTTTGACAAAATGAAAGGTGTCACTGGCATTCAGCGTGCCTTGAGTGAACGAACACCATCCCTCTCATTAGCTGTTGTTATTTATTTATTTATTTAAAGCCCATCTTGTACAATCATCCCAATTAATAAACACTACTGCTCCCCACATGGATTCTCCTCTCAAAATTTATCTTATTATATTTATGGTTTGATCTATTAATAAATCGTGCTGCGATAAAATAGGCAGCATGGCATATATATGGTGTAGTTAAGGAAAGTGTCAAAATGACAGAGACACGTGACTCCATTATTAGAGTAGTACTTGGGAGGAAAATGACAAGTCGCAGAGGCAAAATCCTATTATTAAATTTCTAAATTTATTTTAAATTTTTAATCAAACTCTTAGGTTTTTGTTGAAATAATAAGTCTTTAAATTTATTTATTTAAATAATTTAATTATTTTTATAATAAAATTTAATATTTATCTATATCTTATTTATATAGATAAAATTTATGTTTGTTATATAAACAATGATATATTAATATTTTATTTATATAAATAATATTATAAATAAATATTAAATTTTTTATAAAAATAAATTATTTAAATAATAAAATTTAAAACTTTATTTATTTTATTAAAAATTTAAAATTTTAATAAAAAATTTGAGATAAGTTGATAAACTTATGCTCGTGAGGATTTTTGAACATATTTAGATTAATTTGTAAAAGTTTTTATTTTTTATTATTTATCAATAATAAATTTAAATTTTTATTAAAAAAATTTAAAAATTATTTTTAAAAATAAAAATAAATAAAAAAATTTATGAAAAATAAAAATTAAAATTTTTTTAACTTTTATTATTAAAATTTTTTTAAAATTAAAAAATATTTAAAAATATAAAATTTTTTTAAAAAAATTTAAATTTATAAAATATAAATAATATAAAATACTAAACCACTTATAAGCTCAACCATGCTCGATTACCAATCACAGAACCCATTTTCTTTGTATTGTCCCCATAATCGAGAGATAAAGAACCCATCACCTCCAGAAATACCGCAAGTCACCAAAGGTTTATCGGACGATGCGACGGTAAGAGTGCCACGCAAACGCGCAGATAGAGTCAAGTCCCCACCACAGGCCCGCAGGGTAGGGCAGGGCAGGGCTGGGCTAGGCCTAGGCTAGCTACTACTCGATCTTGGAATTTTTCAGTTTTTAATTTTTTTTAATCAATCTCTCGTCTTTCCTGGAAAGTGCCCTTCTCCCTACCTCCTTTACCAATTTCCTTTTCAAACAATTGGCTTTATTTATCTCCATGATGACAAAATCTTTCACTCATGTCATTTTCCTCTTTAGCTCAAAGTGAAAAGAGAAAGCTCAAATGGAGCTCCCAGTTGGTGAAAATCATGGAAGTAAGGTTTTAAGGTTTTTGGTTCTTTAATTTGTTGTTTAGATGAATTTCTGTGTAGTATTCTATCCTTAATCTTTGGCATTATAGATTTCTGGTTCTTTTGCTTTTGAAGATCTGAATACAAGAATTCCTGAGCAAAATGTCCATGTCAACAACCAAGCTCTAACCATAGCAGAAATAGAGTCGATGAGGCAACAACCAGGTGAATGCTGTATCCTCACTCAAGAAGAAATGATATATAAGTTCTTGTTTCTCTTCCTCGTCCTCCTTCAATTTTGGTTTGACAAATTTGATATATAATGCAATCCTTACAGCATTCTATCCTTCATCTATATATTACAGTATACAGCGACCCAGATTTACAAGGAGGTAATACCGGGTGCAACCATTCCATAAATCTTATAAGCAGTGAGCAAGATCTACAGGGAACCAATGTGATCGGTACTGCAGCCGAAACAGAGCAGATGATGATAAGGCAACAACAATCAGGTCAACGTCAACCTGCAGAGATATATTCTGCGGATTCCAGTGAGCAGAACAGAGCTGAAACAGAGCATCTGACGAGGGAACAACAATCAGGCCAACGTCAACTTCCAGATACATCCACTGCAGATTCTCCGGCAGTGCAGCTTGGCAGACTAAGAGAGGCCAAAAGAAAGGCCAAAAGAAAGGCCGATCAAAGATATAGGGAGAACAAAAAGGTGATCTTCTTCATGGATGTTTGGTATAGCCTTTCGAAACTATACAGCATTTTTTTTAGAGAATAGTCTTGTATTTTGGACGGAGTGTAAAACAGAAGTTATTGAGTAGAAGAGGACCCATAAAATTAGGATTCCTCCGTCATCTAACAGTATATTTGGGTTGGGTGGAGAAGAATGGAGGCAAGGGAAAGAAAAAATTCTCTATTTTCTTATAAAAAAAATAGAGGAAAGGAAAGGAAAATTTTTTTTTTTTTTCTTTCTTCTTTAATTTAATTATTTATCTAACGAGAAGAAGAGAGGGAAGGGAATGGATCTCATCCATTCCCCTCTCCTAAATTCCCCTCAACTCAAATATAGAGAGTAATGATTAATGTTGTATAGTTAAGGCTGTACACTATTTTTTCCTATAGATACTCCTATATTGTAGTTTAGATTACAAGATAGAAACTGTTAAGATAGAAACCGTTAGATCTATGATATTGGGGAGCTTGATGTCCATTCAATAATTTTAGTTGTGTAGTCTAAATTATACAATAGGTTTTTTTAATTAACCTTTTGAAATTAAATGTTGGTTATTTCATTTAATGTGAAAGATAAAAGTGTTTGAATTATTAATAATAGTAATTTACCATAATTTTAAAGCTAACTAATGAATAGACAACTCAATCTAATCAAACATGACTATTTGATATTTGAATTATGAGTATGGTTTGTTCAGAAAAAGCTAGAAGACATGGAGCTCAAACTGAGGTCACTGGAAGCTGAAAGAGAAAAACCTGAAGCTGAGAATAAATCCCTAAAAGAACAACTTGATTTCAAACAAAGGGAACTGGATAAGCTTAGAGAAGATTTTATCGAATTGGAGACGAAGTATAAAAAGCAACATGTAAGTTTGCCTTAACTACAGAAACACAAACAAATTAGAAGTTGCTTGGTAGTATCATATTTGATTTCTTATTTCCATTTTGATATTAAATGTGGAAAATCTATTTGATTATAGTTGTTTGATTCTTTTAAAAGTGTTTGAATTATTAATAATTAATAATTTACCATATTTTTAAAGTTAACTAATGAATAGCAACTTCATCAAACGAAACATGACTATTTGAGTTTTGATTTATGGGCATGGTTTGTTCAGGAACAACAAGCGGGCATGGAGCACAAAGTGACAACACTCGAAGCAGAAAATAGAAGTCTAATGGACAAGTACATTAAATTACTAGAAAAAAGCAATGCCTTGATGGATTCAAGGCTTGAAAGGGATTTCAGCAGCAGTGGTATTGATAGCATAACTCAATAAGGGCAGGATTAGAGTGAGCATTTTTTGGTATAAATCTGATTTAAATTATATTTGGTATTTAATTTGAAAATTTTTTATTTTAGTATTTTAAAATTGATAAGGTTTATGTTTTGTAGATAACAAAGTCAACAGAGAAAACAATATGGTCGATGAAGCAGGGGACGAAAAGGCCAGGTTTATGGTTTAGTTCGGGTTTAATCTTATGATCATAGCTTTGCCAGAGGCAGGGGATATGTCTAAGGTAATGCTGGCTGTCTTTGATTTTTCCCTGTGACTTAGTCATTTGTTTTTTTTTTTTGGTAGAGAGTTGGAGTATATCTTACACTCCTTTAATTAATGAAATGAAGTGCATTTTTGTTTGTTGATATGTAATTAATATTATCTTTAGCTTGGCCGGGACTTGGGAGTTGGGACTTGGTTTGGGACTTGTCCTAGCTTCTTTTTTTTTTTTGAGAATACACAAAGGTCATAGCACCGCAGGACCTCATGTTCATTTTATTTATTACATTTTTTTAGAAAAAAATTGATTTAATTTATTTGTTAATTTGTCTTTTAAACAAAATAAAATTAAAGTCTTTTTTTTAAATTTTATCTTATTAATAATTATTTTTCTTAAGAACCCATCTCAATTTCTCAAAGTTCCATGTAAACATGAAATTTTAATAAATAATAATTATATTTTCATAAACTTTAGTAATTTTTTCCAAGATCTCAGCATATTAATAGACCCTACCCAAATGAAAAGAAACTTGGGAGGCGCGTTCCATAACAACAAAAGGCAAAGGCGGTCCATCTAGTAATAATAAGTAATAACCAAAAGCCTAAAAAAAAAAATTGAAAAACGAGTTTCACTTCTGTGCTTTTAAACAAGGTAAAAACTTTCTAGTGCCCTATCTTGTCGAAAGGCAGATTTCGGATTTTTTAAGTTGGTGCTTGCAGAGACTCAAAACTCGCAGTGGTCCTCCTCCTGTCCTCCACTGTTGTTTCTCGTGTTCCTCACTCTTATTCATCCCCTTTTGCCCGGTAGCCCATCTTGATCTACAAATTTTTATTACTTTTTGAGGGGTTGCTCTGTTAACTCTGCCTTCATTTTGTTTTTCTTTAATTATTTAGTTACTTTTTACCTTGTATCATTTTGAGAATTATAACTCTTAAATTTTTGTAATTAAATTTAGAGCATGTTTTGGGTTAACCTTTTAGAGTTTTAATTTTTTTGGCATTATTTATATTTTATAAGTTAAAATTTTTCTTTTGAAAATTTATATTTTTAAATTTTTTTAACCTTAAAAAAATCTTTAATAGTAAAAATTCAAAAGTTTTAAACTTTTGTTTTTCATAAACTTTATTTTTATTAGAGGAAAAATTTAAACTTATCACTCATAAACAATATTAAAAAATCAAAAGCTCCAAGAAATTAAACCAAACAAACTCTAGCTACTTAGACATTAGAACTAATTAAATTACGCTTACAATTAACTGTCACACAAATTCTTGAAAGAAACCATAAAAAAAGTCTCAAGGAAATGAAATGAAAACAAACAATCAAAACTGTCAATGATTTTCAAAAGAATCTATGTTGAAAACCTTAATTAGGCTAATTAGGCTAATTAGTAATTACCAATTACGCACATAAATTACAAATATAATTTTTTAATACGTTGAGATGATAGTCTCTAACTAAAAATTTTGAACCCTAAACCTCTACCTCAGTTAAATTCTTAGTAGTTGATAAAGAACTAAGCGCACAATGCATGAGACATTAACCATAACAATTCCTAAAAGAAACCACTAATTACAAACCCATTGGGAATACTTTCAAAAGTGTGGCCTGATTGGGAAGAGGGTAACCCCATTCCTGGACTGTTTGCACTAGTGAGGAAGGCCAGGGATGAGAGAGGCGTGGTTACTTGACAGCTCTGCTTAAAACCTTCTGTTTCCACATTGGGGTGTTGTCCAAAAGATTCCATGAAGTTGATGCTGCTTCCAGCTTGGCTATGCATAGTTGAGGCCTGCTTGTTTTGATATCTAATTAAATTATTAAGAAGAATGCATGCGTGCAAAATTAATTTTTCCAGAAATAGAAAAAACAGAGAAGTTAATTTCTCTTTTAACTTCAGTTCAAAAAAAAAGGAAAAGAAAAGAGAAGTTAATTTCTCTAGTTTGCTTGCCGATCAAAAAAAAAAAAAAAACTAGTTTACTTACGACTCCTGTTTCTAATTTTTCCAGTTTAGATTGATAATCGGTTT